CGGATTCGAATGAATAGCAGACTTGATAAATTTAAAAATAAAAATCGTGCCGCCAATTTTAGAAAATTAAATATTGAAAGTCAAAGGAAAGCTTATTCTAAATATAGAAATAAAAATCCTCAGGTTAATAGAGATGCGGTTAAAAAGTATTCATGCGAAAACCCGCAAGTCAATAAAGCTGCTTGCAAAAAATATTCTCGTAAAAATCCTCAAGTTATTAGAGAGGCCGTTAGAAATTACATTCAGAAGAATCCTGATAAACGCAAGGAAATTATAAAAAGTTATTTAAAAAATAATGTTGAGAAAATTACAGAATCCGTTAAAAAATCTAATATGAGAAGAAAATCTGTGAGCTGTAAAAATAATTATTGTGGGTTTGCTTATGACAAAAATATAGATTATGAGTTGAATAATTTTATCTCTATTGGAAAAATGAATTATATTTGCAAATGGTGTCATGCTTTAAAGTGGAAAGGTGAATCTGAAGGAATGTGTTGCAAGTCCAGTAGAGTGATTTTGCCTCCTTTAGCAAAAGTTCCCGAACCCCTTTTTTCGTTAATGAACGGTAAACATGAAAGTTCTGAGCATTTTCTGCATGAATGAGCATATTGGGTATCCAACAAGCGGACACTTTTTTAAAATTCAGATGATTCTTGACAATATCGAACAGAAGTGCAAGAGCTGCGATACAACCATTACATCTAGCTCATCAAAAGTTATTCGAAGATCATTCAAAAACCTCTTTGACAAGTTACAAAAACTTTTCGTTAACAATAGTGTCACACGGTACTAGGGATGGTTACTTCTTAACGAACCTTATATTTCCCTGACTCAGTCCTAAATTATAGAAGTATGCATTAATTTTCCAGCGATCCAAATAAAATCAGTGAATTAAAAGTTATACGCATATATTATGAGATATTCCGATTTGTTTCCTGCAATATCGCCGCGCGAAGCGCGGGTTGACTGCTAGTACCTACTATACTTTTTAAACGGAAAACTACTCAACGGCAATTATTTGAAACTACCATGATTTTTCATTTCCGTGCAAAGAAAATTCTGCATAAACTTCTAAGGGATGGTACCTATCAGCTTGTTCTCCTTTAAAAAAGAACATAGAGATGGAGATTTTCAGACACCGAAACCGAGATATGTGATTGCAACTTACGCCGTCGATTCGCTACTTGAATCACTAACTACAAAAAGGGCACAAGTCCAGAAAACCAAATTGTTCAGGAGACACAAAAAACTGTTTATTTCGTGGTAGATATATTTTGGAAAGTTGTTATGTTTAAAATTGGATTCTATACGGCAGCTTGCGTATTATGATGGTTTGTTTATCTGAAAATAATAGTAACTAGCCTATTGGCAGCCATTTAAAAAGTTTGGACTTGTGCCCTTTTTGTATTTAATGGGCTAAGATGACAGGTTTAAGCAGTTAATTACCAATTTAAACGATTTTTTTTTTTTTTTTTTTTTTTTTTTTTTTTTTTTTTTTTTTTTTTTTTTTTTTTTTTTNTTTTTTTTTTTTTTTTTTTTACAAAATGCTCATTTTCAAGCTTGTACCTGACAAGAGATACAAAATATATTAAATGCTAGGTACTCTTCTCGCCTACCATGGACTCTTTTCGAGTTTCACTATAGTTTCCGTGGTTATCAAGAAAATGTCTGCCCAGAACTTTTTAAATTCAGAGGGGATGTAAGGTTCCGGATCTGTCAGCTTCTTATCAACAATGGAAACAACCCCTGTGTACAAGTGTTTTGTGGGTAAACAAAGTGGCATTACATTTGATTTTCTCAGTTTGAATGTCTAAGTCGCACAAGATCCGAAATACACTCAGAAACCTTTAAGACCATGAAATTCTCAGTCGTGCATTCTAATTGATGATAGGTGGAAATTATACAGGGTGAGCGAAAAGTCCCAGACCCCCCCCCCCTCTAACTTTTGAACGCATACTTGTAGCGAAACGAAATTTTGGGGATGCTCCTAGATCAATAAGAGCTACTTTTTGGCACATCCAAAATTTTTTTGGGGGGGGGGAGGGGGCGCCCCCCCGCGAGGGGCGCACACTAACTCGAAATTTTCAAATGGTAACCCCCCTCTTGTGATACATCATTGGAAAGGTAATAAAAAAAGAAACTATTTGGCGCAAACCGGAGGTTGCTACAACTTTTCGTTCTCGCGTTATTCTCGGTCAAAGTTCAAAGTAGGCCAGTTTTCAAAAAATCGTAAGTCCGGTTCAGAAAGGTGCAGAAAGACAAACGAGGCGGCAAAATTCTCGGCATTGCATGTCCTTTCAGAAAAAAATCGTCAAAAACCTTATCGTCTGCGCCTAGAGTGATTTTAGCCCCCCCCNGAAGGAGTGAGCCATGCAGAGCGCGGCGGCGGAGTCGGGCCGAGACCGAGCGGCGCCCGGCGCGATCAGCTGATGGCGGTAAATAAAATTCAAAAAACAAATTGCCTCTCCTCTCCAACCTCCTCTCTTGTCATAGCTCACACACACATACACGAATTCCCTGTTTTTGAACTTTCCAAAATTGTACGTTTTACTATGAAAAAGGGCATTTTTCCAAATTTTAAAGATTTGAACGCCTGGGCAAAATTTTCCCAAGCTGAACTATGTAAATATCAGGTCAAACTTTAAATTTCATGTATCAAAATTTTCAGTACAAATGTGAAGATCGCGTTCCAAGAACTTGGAAGCGATTTGGTGGGCTTATGAGTCAAAATGTGATCCTACATCCTCGATCCTCCTCTCTCCTCTCTCTTCTATTCTACATCTTTTCGGCTGAGGTGCACGTTAGTGAGTCGCATCTCGCCGAGCGAACTGTCCACTTCATTTTCCTCTTTTTTCTTCTCCTGAGCTGAGGTGCACGTTAGTGAGTCGCATCTCGCCCAGTTTCACTCTTCCTCCCCTCTCACTTCAATCCTGTATCCTGTACTCCTGGAATCTAAAGCCTAGAGGTGCACGTTAGTGAGTAGCATTTCGGCTTCCCTTTTATTTTTAATTTCAATTGTAAAATATTTCCTAACGTATATGCCTAGAGGTGCACGTTAGTGAGTAGCATTTCGGCTTCCCTTTTATTTTGATTTCATTTCCAGGATTTTATCGTCATTTGTAAAATATTTCCTAACGCATAAGCCTAGAGGTGCACGTTAGTGAGTAGCATTTCGGCTTCCGTTTTATTTTGATTTCATTTTTAGGATTTTATCGTCGATTGTAAAATATTTCCTGACGTATAAGCCTTGAGGTGCACGTTAGTGAGTGGCATTTCGGCTAAATTATTATCAACATTTCGAGTGTAGGTTCAGTAGGATCCTCACAAATTTAGCTAATAAACGGACATTCTTTTTTGTAAATTTGAGACACAAGAGTTTGATCATTCTTCCCCTCTTTCAAACTCTCGCATTTTTAAAATTGGCGCCCGAATCCAGGATCCCGGCGAGCTCATTCCGGCAACTACAGTAACGTTGGCTTATCTTATACCAGAGGACGTATGTGCCTCTGAAGAAACGGGATTTGCCTCGTTACACCCCCCTCCCGCGATTAACTGTCTTTCTTGCGGGAGGGGTGGCCAGTTCACTCGAGGCGGAAGTAGGTACCTTTTTGAAGGTAACTCAGCTACCTGACGGTGTCCAGAC